AAGGAAGTTGTCTGGGTTTTGCTCACCTGGGTTCCAGAGCAGCTGTACACCGATGCTCACCCTCCTCCTCTCGCCTCCTGAAATGCCACGGAGGTACTCATTCCCTACCCTCGTGTTTGCACACTGCCGCAACCGTAGCTCTGCTATTACATCTTCCACCTGGGGGAATAAAAATGAAACTGTGTACAGAAAAAGCTGAAAATAGTTAAAATTCATCCGGATATTATGGTGCTGTCTGATCAAGAGCCACTCGAAAACATATCTTGGTTTTAGAAATATCATTAAAAATTGCTCAGCAATAAGCAACTTATCTCTTCTTTCAGCCTCCCTGATGCTTTCTCTAGATCATTATTTTTTGTGCACTTTGGGACAATTGCTGGTTTCTATCTTGAAAATAAGAAAAAGGTTTATAACTCATAATTTAAATTTTAAAATTTTAAAATTTTAAAACTTTAAAAATACCAGAATGGCTGTTCTGTCTCCAAATACACTGAATCTATTGGATAACTTCTGTCAGATGTGTTTTTGATAACTCTGTTTTTTCCCGACAGCTCAATTACCCTTTTTTGCCTTTGTGAGTCCGAAAAACGTTCCGGAAGGCGCAGCTTGGCAATGAACAACAGCGTTTCTCTGACAGTCAGGTGGGGGAGCAATCGATCATCCTGCCTCACGTGTGCAATGCATTTCTTGACAAGCTGGGGAGTGCTGGGTTTGTTGTTGATCATGATTTGACCAGACTTGATTTTGCCTCCATGATCCCGGCAGGTTATCACATCAAGCAAGGATGTCTTTCCGCCAGCTAGAACAATCAAAATTGGAAAATAAGTGCATTTCTAGAACGTTAATTTGAAAACTGATTTATTTATATACAGAAGTTTTCATTCCCTAACTTCTTTTCCTGAACCCTCACTCTTGCTTTTCTAAAGCAGCAAATACAGAATGGTCTTGAAAGAGAATACCGACACAGGACTGCAAGCTCATGCTCAGAAGATCTGTCCCCTCCAGAACAGAGGACATGACTTCAATCTTTGTCATGTCTCAGGAGAATTGGATGGATGGGCTTTGAGGACAGCTCTTTGAATGTGAGAAGCAAGATCTCTCCTTGTCCCCCCAGTCACCTTTCTTTTACCCTTTGGAGAGATAGCAGAAAGGTGGAATCCTGGCCTGGTTGCAGGGCTGTCACCTAAACACTCTGCATGATCTTAGTTATTGAAAGGAGCTGTGGATTCAGAAATGGCAGCTGTAACATCTGAAAGACTAAGGCATCGAATGATTATACTGACAATAAAAATCTTAATCACGATCAAATAGAAATTACTATTATTTGAATAAAACAAAAAGTCATTTAAACAATTAAGAAAAGCTGGCTTATGTTCAGAGATAAGAAAATGAAAACAATGTAATCAAAATATTATTTGGAATTAAATAGCAAATGACTTTTTCCCTTATGCTGTATGATACTTGAGGTAAACACAGAGCTCTCTCATTATGATTAGATGTCATTTATTTCCAGATTTCCTGTTAAAAGATTAACTCCACACTTGTTTTCTAATGTGTACACTTTAAAAAGGAAATCCATCCATCTGTGAAGTATGTATTGCTCAATTTAAGAGTGACATATTGATTGCCATTGACATTGTGAAACTCATCAGCAGTTTAACCCATTTTACTAAGGCATTTGAAAAAATAGATGATAAACAGCTTTTAAAAATAGTTTGACTAGTCTGCTAAAAAGGGTATGTGTTCAGTGCATGTTACCTTTTAACAGTGGTGTATCTATATCGCAGTATGTTATTTCATCATAAGCTTTTTTCATCTATTATGGGGAATCTCTAACGTACAACTTCATTTTCATTACAGGTATGTGCTCAGAAAAATTCCACATGACCATGGGGGAAAAAAAAACCAGAGACCTGTTTTTAAGACACTGTAAGTCAAACAGAAGAGGAATTATCTTCTTAAGTTTTACATTAATTGATCTGAAGGTGGTAGTTTATCCTCTAAGGGTTGTTTGCATGTGAAGGGAATTGCTATTTGTGGCTATGCTCTACCAGTTGCCACTGATCTCTGTAGGATCTGGCTTCATATCTGCTATGTTACTGGGTGAGGTCTGCAATCTACATTTGTTTTTTTTTTTCATGAGAGCCGTGAAGCTGCTTCACGTGCAACAGAGGTGAGAGTGCAAACCACAGTGGCAGCAGGGAACAAAGAGCAAATATACAAGTCATAGGAAAAATTGGTTTTGAAAACAAATTCATAGTACGTGTTTCTCCAGTATGATTCTTTGTTTTCTCACACTTAACTTTTTAATGATGTATTTAAGTGATACATTTCTATTAGTTGTTTCTCAGCTAGATTTTGCCATTCAAAGGACTGACGAGTGTTGTTTTCAATTGTCTATGTTTTATCCAGGGGTTGATCAAATCATGAAACATGGTTGCTCTTACCAGTGCTTCCTATAATAGCTAGCATCTGACCACTGTGAACCTTTAAATTCAAGTTCTGGATTATTGTCACGTGAGAATCAGGACCTGAGTTCCAGGGCAATAGCAATTGCATCTGCGTGAGTTTCTCATACCACGGAATCTGGGATGCCAGGTTAACCTAACAAAGAATAAAAGCAAACAATAAACTACTTCACGGTAAGTGCTTTCAAATCCATTACAAAGCAGAGAATTAGTTAAAATAATATTCCTAATATTCAGAAATACAGAAAAAAATTCTCTTTGAGGCGTGTATGTTTTTCATCCTTTGCTCCTTATTTCTGTTAATCACCAAAATTATCTGTCCTGTAGTGTATTGCTATTGCACATTATTAATTTTTAATACAATTTAAAATTACTCAAAACTGGAAATTATGAAGCCTACTTCAGATGCCCCATGGCACAGAGAGAGGTGACAAATTTCACTAGTTTTCTGAAATCCTCCTTATATTTGTTATCCATGTCATCCTGCCACATCTCCTGCATACACATTCTTGCCAGCAAAGGCTCCTGCTATTTCTGGCTGGATGGAAAATCGCTCTGCTTCCATCCTCCAAGGAGTAATTTAGCTTAAGACAGAGAAAATGGCCTATAAACTGACCTCTTCTCCTGTGCCATCCTCTAGCTTTACTAGATATGTTTACAGTGGAGCATGTAGCCAATGCTACAACCAAGAGCATGATCCTTCTTAAAGAACTTCTGTATATTTCACTGTGCAACATTTACATGAACTTGAACTTTATTCTACTTCTAAAATAGCTTGCAAAATGAAAGAAGAACTGCTGGATATGTTCCCTGCTCAAGGGAATTGCATAAAGTAGAGTGTTTACCTGGTAGTTGAGTTCTTTGACCTCAAGAACATTTGATTTTCCGCTGTATGTGAAATACAGGCTGTTATCTTCTTCAGAACAAAAAATACTGTCCTGGGCCTTGATGTGGAGAAAGCACTAGCTTAGTTACAACAGTTAATTGCAATACCTAAAGAACTATTAAAATTTGATTACAGAGAAAACACAAATAGAGAAATAGAAATGGAAATATGTGCAATGGGATATACCAGTTTTGTTAAGTTTCCATAGTACAAAAGTGCAAAGGGTTGAAATGTTACCTGTTAGCCAGCATGAAATGCAGTTTGTTCTAAAGATATGTCAGAGGGCCAGGTATGCTGTACTGTGCTCATCTTTCAGTTGAAATGAGTCTATTTCTGAAGTGGAGCCTAAATCCTATGCCACCATAAGGAGATGAATCTAATCTATTCTATTTTTATTACTATAGAAGAAATGGATGACTGTTGGAGTGTTAATGTCTACTGGATCAAAATGGTATGTATTGAAATTGGTACTTTATGGCAGCTAAAAATTACACTACGAGCATGCTCGTTATTTAATTCATCCATACTGTACCATAGTAACCTGAATCAGTTAATTCACCACTGCACACATACAGAAGATAATTTGCTGATGTCTATGCTTATAAAGAGCAAATGGTAGCTGCAAACAGTGAATGCTCAGTAAGAAAATGTTAATCATAATCAGACAGGGTATTAATTTAACCAACCAAAATATCCAGATACCCACCATCTCTGCTGAAGAAATGTCTTGTAAAATAATGGGGCAATGGCACGTTATCCTAAGTCAGCATTCAGAGATCATCCTAACCCCTGTGTCTTTTGTTATAACAGGGGCTAAGGCTCTTCCAGGGATTTATACTTTGAGTTCTCATTTCACCCAAGTCATGTAACTTTCAGCTTCAGCTGAGGGCTGCTGGAAGAGCTCCATTCCCCTGTTTCCTATCTAGGTATGCACTGGAAAGCAGCATGATACTAAATTGTCTGAAAAGCAACACTAAGACCTTGCCAGCTCTCTCTGCAGTCCTTGGAGGAAGCCTGGGCACTGGGCATTGCTTCCCAGCAGCCCGCAGCCAGCCCTCTCACAGCTCTCACTCACCGATGAGCTCGTGCGTGTGTCCTGGTTCCAGCTGGCACCTTCCAGAGAGATGTTCTCGGGGGCTTTCTTCATCTTGGCCGCACAGGACCTTGCTCCCTGTGCTGCTTTGGTGATGGGCTCCTGCAGAGTCGTGGGGAACCTTCTCTCCTTGCTTCTGAGCTTTCCAAGCGCCTTCAGAGCAGTGCCCTGGTGTCTCTGCAGCAGGTGTGACCTTGTGGACTGGGAAATACTCCCCTCCTCCCAGACACTGACAACTAGGGGTAAAGGTACATCAGATAGGCAATTAGCTGAAGCTGCTATCAGTTGCTCTCTGAAAAAGAAAGTGCAGAGAGACAGTCTGTTTTCTTGTAGGCACTTCCCAGGGTGGCGGGTGCTGGGGGCAGTGAGTTGCTCCATTCTAGGAGGAGCGAGAGCTGCCCCCATCCCAGCTGAGGCATGGTGGCAGTGGCGGGCATCTGGCTGGCGGCGTGAGGGCAGCAGCCCGTGGGGCTCTGGTGCCGGAGGATGTCGGGCAGAGGGTCTCCTGCTCTGGAGAGGAGTGGCAGCAGTGGGCAGGCAGGCGAGACAGAGGCCGCGGCACAGCCCCCCAACTGCATCAGTGTGCGGGGCGTCTCCTACAGTGTCAGGTAGGACAAGGGATCCTGGAGCCGAGGTGAGCCCCTCCCTGCTGAGAGCTTCCCCGACCCCGGGAAAGGAGGGGAGAGGGCTGGGACAGGTGGGCTGTGGGCTTGGCCTTGGGCTGGTGAAGAATGAGAGCTGTGGCAGGGCTGCCCGCCTCGTGGTGGGGCATGTAGTGGAGATTTCTGAAGTTCTGTGTGTGTGTGTCATGCAAAACTTTTTACTTCATCAATGTTTCTTCCTTTCTGATATTTGTTTTCCAAGAGAGAGTGTTGGCCCCTGGTGGAAAGTTCCTTTACACCATACAAAATGGACTCGGCAAATACTTAAAGATGTTTCATTTCATGTAGAGAGTGGCCAGATTATGGGGATTTTAGGAAACTCTGGTAAGTTGTTCCTCTATGTTCAAAGAAATAAAATCAGAGTTATTACGGGTGACTTCCACAGTAGTCTGAACATGACTGAGGTCTGTGCTTTAAATAATGAAATTGCAGCTGTGTTAACCCCTGCTTTGTGAAAACGTGACACTTGGTTTCCAGAGTTCTATCTTCTGCCATCTAACTAGCAATTACAACTTCAATAAAAGATAAGGTTACCTCCAAATGCAAATGTTTCACGATAAAGTGTGAATGTGGGAAATAAATGCTAATCACACTTATTCTAGTTTCCCAATTGCTTTCCTATTACTGTCATGTTAAGACTTTGTTTAATGCTTTCTTATTTTCACATGTCTCCATCCAAGTGATGTCGTTGCTCTTGAGATTGAATGTCTTGTAAATTTCATCTCATCATGTGGTTGATTTGTTTTGTTTGAAAGGATCTGGGAAAACAACACTCCTGGATGCAATATCAGGAAGACTGAAAGATAAGGACAATTTTTTTGGTGAAGTGTATGTGAATGGGCATCACTTGAAGAAGGAACATTTTAGAGATTGCTTCTCTTATGTGCCACAGGTTAATCTCCACATTTGTTTGTGTGTACTGTGATTCCTCTTCTGTTAAAAAAAATACAAACAAACAAACAAACAAACAAACAAAAAAGGTATTTGCTACTGTAAGGGTACAGTGTATTCCCACCACAGTTTCACTAGTAATTTTGATACAAAGCAGTCAATAAATTGCATGAATGAATTGAGAGACTGTGAGTAAAAGCAGTATCTTAATTACTACTGGACTAACTGCTGCTTGTTCTTCACCTTTTTCTTAGAATGATGCTTTGCTAAGCTTCCTCACCATAGAAGAGTCTCTGACCTACACAGCTTTACTTGCTCTTCAGAAGTGCTCCAACAACTTCATCAAGAAGAAGGTCTGTGTATTATCATCTTCTGCTAGGAATGCAGACATGACATCATGAAATGCTTTTACTGGCAGCACTTTTCATCCATGGCTGTGGTTTATATTTATGCAGTTTCATAATCCTTATTCTGCAGCTGGAGAGATACCCTTCTGCTGAGCAATGAGCAGGATAGACTCCCTAATGCTCACCACCTCTGCAGGGAGCTTGTGCCTATTTCCCAGCAAATATCTTGGAACAAAACTTTAGCTCAAAGCTGCAGCAATTACTGCTGCAGTAGATGTTATTGGCATGGAGTTCAGCTCCCATTGGCCAACTGGGAAACCCAGCTCACTGTAATGCTTAAGGCTGTGTATGCTGGCCAGTCTCTCGAACAGCAGAGCTGACACTAACACTACTCTGGCTTCTTGGGGAGCTCTCTCACTATCCAGAGCAGCCCTGAAATGCACCATTCTACTGAGCTGCTTGCAAGCTGCCTTTTTGATAAAATATGCATGTTTCTCATCTACTGTAGGGTGCTTTTTGTCCTCAGCTCAGAAGTTCCTAATCAAAGGTTCTTGACCTCTGTCTTCTTTTTTCACCCATTTTCCACTCAGTATTTTGTACTTCTCCAGAATTGATTTGCCTTTCTGCTTCCTTATTTTGGAAGCCATACTAGCACGTTATTCTTAACGTCTAGCCTCTGACCTCATCTCTTAATGTCATGCAAAGCTAAAATTCTACTCATTTTAGAATATGTAGAAATGAAAAAATATTTGTAAAAGTAATTAGAATACTGCATTAAAAATAATGTAATAAAAATCAGGTCCAAATCCTTCCAATTACAATGGGTGCAAGCAACACTCTGGGAAAGTCTTAAAATTATGCCATTTTTTTTTTTCCCTTTAGTTTTTGTTTTTCTGAGTATCTGAGTTGGTATCTGAGTTGAACACTGGTCTTTCTAATTTGGAATTATTTTTCAGGTCGATGCTGTTATGGCTGAGCTGAGTCTTAGCCACATTGCCAACAAAATAATTGGAAGCCAAATATATATAGGAATTTCTGGAGGTGAGAGGCGTCGTGTCTCAATTGCAGCTCAGCTATTACAAGATCCCAGTAAGTACCACAAAGAGGATTTTGAACATAAAGTAGAGCAGTGCTACTTTGTGCTTCTGCCATGGATTTCCTTAGCCCACTTTAAAATACAAATACATTTTTTAATCTGTAATTCATTAAAAGCTAGCCTAGTAATGATGGAGATGGATAAGCCATAATTCAGGTTTGTCATTAACCTATTATTGGTCTTGGAAAGGAATGAAATCTAAAATCTTAAGGACTGAACATGCATCTAGACTCTTTTACCTCTTTCTGGGCTTGCCCTTCCCACATGTGCAATGTTAGTTGTGACATATTTATTTGCGGCTTATGGAACCAATTAGAGCCCTACGTATCCAAGCACTGAGTCTTGCAGTGGAGCAGCTGACATTGGGCCATCTATGTGTGTACTCGATGGGGTCAAAAAGGCAGTCTGCACATGAACTTTGCTCACTTGGAAAAGAAAGAAACAAAAGAGAGTCAATTGTTCAGGAGTATAACAGCTCTCATGTGGTTTTTTCCTTGATAAGAAGCCAGATGTTGATACACACCATGCTTCCATGTGTCTTTATTTTAGTGTAAAGAAAAAAAGTCTAGTGAATGAAAATCGAGGCTGAGTAACAGAGAATTAAGCTCATAATGTAATTCTGTAATTCTGTGTGGATAAACCTAAAGAGAAAAATCTTCTTTCCTGTATTTAAAACCTAGGATTGAACTGCCTTTTCTGTGCTATATATCACCTACGTGAAACTAAATGATTTGACTGTAATTTTTACCCTTCCATATGCAATAAAGCTGTGAAGAAAATGCAATTTAAAAACTGCTTTCATTTATAGAATTATACATCCCGTATTCTCATGAAACTCTCGATTGGTTCATAATTAATTTCATTATTTGTATATTTAATTCAGATCATAAGTTCTAGCTAAATATTTCAGCCATATTCACATTTGTATACATTTTGAATTTTACCACAATTCTTCTCAGAAGGAGGTGTACATTAGACCTATTTTGCTAATTTATGGATTTCACTGGAACTTAGAAAAAAATCATCATGTTCTTATTTGTTGTGTAATAATTCTGTATGTTCTTATTCCCAGTAGCTGAACCTGAGCCATTGAAGCTAAATAAAGATGAAACACTAAGCCTCAGTAATGAATGTGCGTGCTCTGTGTTACACACAGGACTTCGCGTGTACAGCTTCAAATGCAGAAGTTATAACATTTGCTCTCAATTTACCTGAGTTTTAATGTTATTTCTTACCATTAAACAGAGGTCATGCTGCTTGATGAACCAACGACAGGGCTGGATTGCCTGACTGCAAACCAGATCGTCTCACTGCTTGTGGAACTTGCACACAATGACAGGATTGTGATTATCACCATTCATCAGCCTCGCTCAGAACTCTTTAGGGTAAAGGATATCTACTCAGCATTTGATTTTTTTAGCATCCTTTTTAGTATTTAAGTTCTTTTGAGAATAAAAGGGCAATATCAAGTATAGTTGTGTTAAAATTCTCTCTAACATTACCCCCGTGTAAACATAGGCTTGTGTTTAACTTTACAGATCTGGCCTTCTGCCACTTGCAGTGCGTATTAGGATACACACTGCTCTGGGCCACTAAATCTGACACAGTGTGCATAACCTTTGTGTTATGCTGCTATCCAAATCAAAACACTGGGAGAAGCCATTTAAATTCCCCATGTGTGCTGGCACTGTGAAAACTAGAATTTTATTTATTGTTACAAATGCTTGCAAATCAGGATGAAGCCATGATTTGGAATACAAGTGGAAAAAAAGCTTTTATTTCATGTTTTCTAGCTTCACATAGTTTGTGTGGCATGGTCTTCCTTCCCAAGACTGTTTTGAATTTGCACCACTCCATGAACGCAAGGCACTTCTCTGGCTGAATAAATTTAGTGTGAGTGATCACAAAGCAATTGCGAGTGATGGTGCTCTTCTGGACTGGAATTGGTCCTGATGCTTGTTGAGCACAGCTATTGGGAGCCCTGTGCTATCTAATATATACCCAAAGAGCAGTGCTCTTAAAGTCCTTAGTGCTTCAGGATAGTTTTCCCAATAGTATGGGAATTCTGCAGACTGAGAGCATTAAGCACCAAAGGAGGCGAGTCAGTAAGTGAAGGTACATTAGAAGTGAAGTCAGAAGTCCTCAGATTTTATTTCTGTTCTTGGATTAGCTCTGTACACTGCTGGCTCCAATAACACTGAGAAGCCCTAAGTTTTAAGAGCTTACAAATGTGTCATCTTGCATAACCATAGAGAGGAGTGATAGAAAGGACAAACTTCCTTTGACAGAAATATACTAAGGAAGTTTGAATGTGTCAAATCTGTTTTTCCCCTCAAAGCATTTTTATTACCAAGACAGTAGCTGTACTCAAGAATTAATGTGCTTCTTCCCAGTATGTATTGCTACAATCTTAATTTGCCCCCACAGTTATTTGACAAAATAGCCATCATGAGCTTTGGAGAAATGGTTTTCTGCGGGAACCCTATGGAAATGATCACATTTTTTAGCAACTGTGGCTATTCATGTCCTGAACAGTCAAATCCTTTTGATTTCTATGGTAAGTTTATCTAAGTTGTTCAGGTAAAGTGAACAGGTTGTTTTTTTTTTCCCCAAGATAAAGATTTTTCCATAGATAGGAATGTGTTTGAATTTTTCTCTGACTCCACAGTTGTACTCAGCTCAGAGACGAAAAGAGGACATCCACATGTGCATGGATAACATGAAACAACAAAAGTTTGCAGTAGGAATGAAACACAGCAGAAAGGAATAAGCTAGCAATGAAAAATAAATTTTTGTATTTATTAAATTTATTAAACCTCTGGGTTCCTGATGGCATGTCTCTATGCCTATCCATTGAACATAAGGTTATTAATTTGATCCCGAAACTGTGGAAAGTATTCATGGATGTTTTTGATGCCAAAAAAAGTGAACAAAGTCATTGCCTGCTGGGTAGGATAAAAAAACTAGATGACCAGGGAGCAAATGCTGAGATTTCAGAAAGTATTGGGAGTTTCTAATACCAGGGTGAACTACTTAAGTAGAATGAACAGATTCTTCTGGAGATGATGACAACAGGCTGTTTGCAAAAGCTGAGTTCTGTTCTACTAATTCAGGATCGAAGAAGTATCTGGAGCAGATTTTTAAAATGAGGCTTGGATCCACTGCAGGGCATCTGTGTACCTGACCTCTGTGGAAAAAACGAGTATGTCTGTGTGTACATTTGTGTATCTTTTAAAATCTGGTGTGCAGGCTGATTTCTGACAATAATAGCTGAACGTTAACCAGGGAATGTGACCAATCAAAAAGCTGTGTTCAGAAAAACGGCACATTCAGAGAAGGCAGTGTTTTTCTATTGTCTAAATGGCATCCTAAATTGAGAGAGAAGAGAGGATGGTTGTTGACATGAAGCTGGAATGGGATGAAGCTGAAAATACTGGTGTGACAGTGAGGATAATTTTGTCTTCATGAATTTGAATAGTCTTCAAATGCATAGATGATTTGAGATTTAGACCCACCTTTAAAACAGCCTGGTAAAGAAAGTACTGCATTCTTCAAATGTCAACCTTTGAATGTGACAAGAAAAGGAAAAAATATAGTTTAGAGCTAAGAATCATCAGAATATTTAGTCTTCAGAAAATTGGTAGTTTATATTTTTTGTGTGGTTTAATGATGTGAATGAAGGCACAGATTCTGATATCATTTACACCAGCAGCAGAGGAAAATAAGATCTTATGTATTGAGCATGGGTTCTACTGTTGAAACGTTGCATGCTTTGTATTTAATTAAAAAAAAACAAGAAAGTACAAAAACATGATAGGCATTAGCTCTTTGGTATCGTGGCTTGTCTATTTCATCTTTTTTTTTTTGGAAACTGCCTGGTTGTCATTTGTTTCCTTTGTGTCTTAGAGCAAGTCACGTTCAGCTGGTTTTATAAAGTGTGGCCCATTTTTGAGTGTTCATGTTTAGAATGAAGTCTTCAGTTCACTGTTAAGGGCAGTTTGCTAAATTCCAGTTTTCAGAACACTAGCAAATATTCATAAGGATTCCAGTTTTGAGGACAAACTGAGACTGCTGGGCAAGGGCTGCAGATACTCTTTTCTCCTGTAAATTTGTCTTTTGAAAATGAACATAGCATTTTAAAACTGCCATGTAAGGATGATACAAACCTTAAGAGCAGATCACCTTTCATCCTCAGCTGGGAATCCGTCTTGTTTCAGTAGCAGTAGCACTTCACAGGTGTACAGGAAGAAGGGTGAAGGTCTGACTGTGGAACACTTAAGTCCTTGCATTTCCACATGAGCCTTGAGGGTCCTACAGAGGCCACAAAACAGAGAGATTTATTGTGGTTGCACAGTCATTCATTCATTCTGCTTGAAATAGAAAGGAAGTAGTAAAGGAAACTTCATTCATTTCCGTCAACCTTTTATTTGCAGCTTTTAGGATAGAGGCGTGGAAAGGTTTGTTGCAAGGGAGGAACAGATAGAATCATTATAGAGTCATAGAATGGCCTGGGTTGAAAAGGAATCAAAGATCATCTAGTTTCATCTCCCCTACCATGGGCTTGCAACCATTAGATTAGGCTGCCAGAGCCACATCTGGTCTTGTCTTGAATGCCTCCGGGGATGGGGCATCCACAACCTCTCTGGGCAAAGATTACATATGTGATGCACATATGCTAAATATTTTGTAAATTTACAGTGGATCTGACTTCTGTGGACACTCGAAGCAAGGAACGTGAACTTGAAACCTATAGCAGGGTTCAGGTGATTATATCAGCTTACAAAAACTCGGAGATCTTTAGGAAAGTACTGGAAGCCATTGAGAGAACAAGGTTTATGAAAGACCTTCCACCCATACCATTCAAAAACAAAGACTCACCTGGTACCCTTCCCAAATTATGGTTTCTATTAAGGTAAGACTTTTTTTTAAAGAAAATCATTTTTCTTTGTTCTCCTTATTTACTAATCTCTCAGGCTTTTTTCTGTTTGACTCAACAGACTTTTTTGTTATTTTAGTCTATCACTTCACCTGTCTGTCTTTTATTTTTTGGAGGAATATTTTGTGTGTAAGATTTGTTCAAAGCTAAATGTCGTATGAGCACATGGTCAGTCATAACTAAGAGGTATATTGCTATTTTTTTGTTTCATTAACAGGAGGATAACAAGAAATTTCTCTAAAGATAAGATGGGCATAATTATGCGTCTCCTCCAGAATCTTCTGTTTGGCTTGTTTGTAGCATTTTTCCTTCTTAGACTAACGCCTGAGCTGGAAAAAGGAGCAGTACAGAACCGCGTGGGTTTCCTCTACCAGTGCGTGAGTGCTCCCCCCTACACAGGGATGCTCAATGCTGCTGCCCTTTGTGAGTTTCTGTCCTCTACTATTGCAACAGCAGGTATTGCTGCCACTATTTTGTAACTAGGAGCAAGTAGTTTGTGAAGATCGTCATTTAAAGAATTCCTACAGTTTTAGGTAATTCAAGAGTTGATAGGGAAGCATGAAATTCAAAAGTGAAGCAACAGCAAGCTTCACAATACAGAAGAGTAGTACGTCCAAGAAACTCCATGTTCACTGCGCTTAGTGAAGGAGCATGCCCCTAATCATAGCACTATTTGAGTTGAAAGGGACTCTTAAACGTCATCTAGACCAACTGTTTATTGCAGGAGAGTTGGACTAGATGACCTGCAGCTCGATCAAGTTGCTCAAAGTCCCTCTAACCTGACCTTGTATGACTCCAAGGACAGGGCAATCCCCACCACTTGTTTTCACAGCTGACCTGGGTATGGGTACATTATTTTGAAAGCCTGTGCGTAGCATTAAAGGACAAAGTCTAGGTGTAAAATTTACAACCTTAAGTAAGATCAAACACAAAGACAAAGAAAGGGTGGAAGTACAAAACTGTCTTGAGGGCAAGGAAGGATAATTAGGTTTAAGACTATTATGTGATGATTATGTTTCTATTAAAGGGTTTTCCACTTACAGCTACCATCAATTAGTCACACAAAGACCAACAGTAGTTTGCATTTACAACCCTAAAAACTGTTCCGCTCATGTCAGGAATGTACACTGCTGACATCACCTTGAGATCAGAGCACGTCAGTACGTTATCCAGTGGTGGCAGCTTTTCCAAGACTTTATTTGTATCTGCAGAAAGAAGAGTGCATGCTGCCTCCTCAGACCTGTTTTTACTCAATGTAGAAAATTCTGCAGGGACCAAGTTTTGCAGTCACAGTGGGAAGAGGGGAACGGGGTGGTTTAAACAGAACGTTTCTGATAAATGCACAAAGCTGTCTCAGTGCTTAATGTCAATTTTGTGACAACAGGTCTTGGTCTCTTTATTTAAATATTATTTATTTCTTATGTATTTAATCGTATTTAATCCAGTCCCACCTTTACGTGCTATCAGCGACCAAGAAAGCAAAGATGGCTTGTATCACAAGTGGCAAATGCTTTTAGCTTATATCATACATATCCTGCCCTTCAGTATTCTCAGCGTGGTAATTTTCAGCGTCTTTATGTACTGGTAAGTACTTGTACCATCAAATGGATTGTTGTTTTCTTTTGTATCTATTTCAGTTCCTTTGTCAGCAGTAAGCTTCCTTGCATGGCTTAGTGCTATTTTCTCTCAGTATGATCACAGAGAAAATTTAAGGAATGATTATGCAATTCTAACGCTTCTCTTTCAGGCAGCGTTAAGATTAGATGTACACTTGTAACAGGAGGTGTCAGATAGGATCAGGGAGTTGAGTGGCCCTTAGGAACTCACTAGTCTTGCTGAAGACCAGTTGAGTTGCTGAGGTATTTGCAGAAAGGCTTTGTATTTCATGTAGGTCAAACTTTGAATGCACATACACACGAAAGTAATAACAAGTGAGTATGTAAGGCTGGCAGAATTGGTTCTCGAGATAACTATTGTAAAAGATACAATGGATGCAGGAGCTGTTCTGCTGTAGCTTTGCAGCAGGATACCATTGTTAATTTGAAAACAGATTAAGTAAAATTGCATAAAATCCCATCGACTGTTGAATTAGAACTTCTGCACCAGGAGATAATCTGCCAGGGGCATCCTGCAATAGTTGTTTTCCTATCTGGAAAAAACATGTGAATACAGATCAGTGTTTTCTTTTTCCTCTTGCTCTGTAGGAGCTAACAAAGGGAGGTGCTCAGGCACATAGGCATTTACCACCTCCTTTTCATTTGGGCTCCCAATAACTGGTCTGCAAGGTTTCCGAGATGAAAAGACTAAAGCCCCAAGACAGAAATTTCCTATTTTCCAGGTTTGAGGACATGTGAGCATGATTTTGGTTTTGGTGTTTTTTCTGTTGTTGTTTTGTTTTGGTGGTTTTTTTTGTTTTTGTTTTTTGATAGGTTGGTGCTGATATGAATAAAATTTCCCTAGGTCCCCTTAACTGCCTGGGTGTGTATTTCTGCACACTGTTAGTGCTGCCTGCCACAGGCAGTACTGCCTTCAAAGTCTTGTTACTATTTCCCTTGAGCAAGTGCTGGGATGCACTCTGCTCACTCAACCACTTCCATTGCTGCATGCCAGTGAGCCAATTTCTGAGGATGGTGTGATTTGGAAAGTGTATTTTAGGGTCCCTGATGGAAGGTCTGTGGAGCTCCTGAGAGTCACAAGTTACTGTTTGTCCCAAGCTACTGTTTGTCACTCATATGACATAGATATCATACGATATAGATTTTTCTAGCTGGAGAATATTCTAGCAGTTTATATTTTCCTACCGTTCTATTGCTCTGATTTTCTCTTCTCTGTGTTGATTTTTTATTCTGTCCTTTTCGGTTTTCTTCTCTTTCTACACCTATCCCAAATTTGTGAGTCTCTATCTATACGGCTCTGTATTGGAGTGTTTCAGAGAAGGGGAAACTTTAATGCTAGGACCTTGGAGAGCTGCTCCGTCAGCTCTCATCTGTCATTAGAGATTGTTAAATACCTGCTGGCTTGCTGAATGTTTAGTGCATGAAGAGTCAATGTTCGTGTTTATAATAGACTCTCAGCATTACATGCTACAGGAAATCCTGTGAAGAAATTAACAGCTCTACTTTAAGGCCGTGGTTTGGGTGTGGTGGGTTGTAAAATATGACAGAGTCCTGTGACTCTTGATATTCATTTGAGCAATGAATATGAAGTGTCAAGTAGCTGCCTGCTAGCTAAGCAGAGCACATGGTATATACTGGTATGAGGCAATTTTGGAATGAAGTATAGTGGAAATGTAGTATGTCACAGTATAATTACAGGTTTTATCATCTGTCAAGTTTGCTAAACAATTGCTAGCTTTGTTCACTTTTCAGTCTTTAGGACAAATTGGAGGGGGACAGTTTTTCTTAAGCGAGGGAAAAGCAAGGAACAGTGTGTAGTGTATTAAAGAGTTTAAAAGTATGGAAGGTATTGCATTTGGATGAATTACACTTACAGGAGTGGTGAATTCAATGAGTCTTCTATTCAACTAGGATGAGTACAGCTGTTTTTACATTTACAAGTAAGTGCAGAAGTGCAAGATTCATCTGTTAATTGTCTGCATAAAGGTGTTCTTTAAATATATGACCTATAAATAACTCTTTACATAACCCTTTTTAATCTAGATGGAGCAAGCTCATACATCTGCAGTTATGTCATGAATTTAAGTTGATGCACTTTTTGTTAAGGCTCTGTCAAACATGCAAAAAGCTAAGGGATAAACCCTTAATGAGCAATGATTGCGGAAATGAATGACAACAAAAACGAATGGTACTTTCCAAGTCTCATCCCAAACCAAACTGTTTAAAAGTATCCCTTGTTTCATTTGTTGTTTTTTTTTTTTGTACAGGACTATAGGGTTGCATCCTGATCCTTTCAGATTTGGAATTTTCTTTGCGGTTGTCTTTGCGTCCCATGTAATTGGTGAACTACTCACCCTTGTGATGCTTGGGGTTATTCAAAACCCAAATATAGTCCAAAGTGGAGTGGTGCTGCTTAACTCAGCAGGTGTGGTAGTGGGAGCTGGACTCGTAAGGTAGGAAAACATTTTACTTCATGATGGTGTTGACGTTAAAATACTGCTAGATGAGTTTCAAGAAAAATCCGTATTGCTTCAGAGCAGTGATGCAGAGGAGAAAGGGAACAAAAGTACAGCCATTATCTTCAGAGAGGAAAAACTATCTAATCATGTTAGACTTTGTACTAAATACACACACACAAATAATAACTTTAGATATCTGCAAAGATATTAAAATGTTTATTTATTATTGCAAAATGGCATATGACTTGGAGATAAAATTGAGCAATTCAAATCTATTGGCTCAGTTGAATTCTTTTACTTATGCCAACATGATTGTATGAAATGCTGTCCTTATTAGCGAATTCTACCAAAAAAAAATCCTACCAGTTTTAATAATTGCTGGAAATTTCACACATTAGTTTTAGTTTTAGTTTTGGTTTTAGAAAAAAAAAGTCGTTCTCAACAATTTTATTAATCTTCTTCTCCAATTTCGTCATTCAACTTTTCAGGTTCCTTTTTTGATTTGTGTAAACTCAACTACATACAAATATTAAATCAATAAATAGCTTAATAAATGTGAAGGAACATTACAATGCACCAACAAGAAGTCAGGACTGAATGTTACAACGCTGTACCAATGTCAGAGAGAACTTTAGTTGCTGTCTCATTTAGCACTGAAATAAAACTTATGTTTGAAAAGTTGACATTTACAGCCAAGAATTCTTCCTGTAACTTTCCTACAACCAGAGAGATTGTTTCAATTTAGGGCAGAACTGGTTCTTGGAATGTAGCAAATGACAATTTAACTTCTCTGTTTCTTAAAAGGACCATAGAAGAAATGCCAATGCCTTTTCAAATACTCAGTTTTCTCACCTTTCAAAAATACAGCAGTGAGATTCTGGTAGTCAATGAATTTCATGGCCTAAACTTTACTTGTAGTAAGTATTCAGAAGTATTCCTTTCCTTCCTTGAACAACAAAATTGTCGTGATAACTTAAAGAAAACTTGTTGTTTAAAACATCCTGAATTTTCTGATTAGGAAAAAATGTACTGTAACTCTGTATCTGCAAGGTAGATAAATCGTCCAACTATTTTTTTCAACCATTCCTCATTCTTTCAGTTTTCCATCTTTTTCTTTACCTGTTCTTTTATTCTTCTATTATTTATGCACAAATAGAGTAGCGATAGGAAGAGATGGTACAGGATCGAATATCAGTGCAGGGAGCAGTGCACGTAACACCCAACCAGACATTTCCTCTAACTCTAGTGAGGCTTCAGTTCAAATATATTAGCATGGCAAATACTGAGCAGCTTTGGTCTGTCAGGCTGTGCTTCAGTGTTTGTGAGCAAGGTAAGTGAAAGACATTACAGTCAGGTTGGAAGGATTAGAAGGATGATGTGAATCTGTCAGCGGGGGGAAAGCTTTGAGCTATCCTTCAGCCATGAGATATTTTGGGCTTTGCGGGCAGGTGCTTGTGCCTCTCTCCAAGGCTACATATCCTTCATGCACTATTTGTCATCAATCTGTCCTGCCTCCCTTCATTAGAAAAGTGTAGGTGGCAACTGTTTGAATACAACCATAAAAACAACTGTTAGAAAACGACTCCATGACTTTGGTAGTAGTAATTAACAGCTGATGTTTAATGGGAATGACACATCTATCATACTGGCCAAAGTGTGGCCCCTCTAGACCCTTCATTTACTTGGTATGAACAAAACAGAAAGCTCTAGAGACATTTTCTTTGTTTCTTCGAATAATGTGGCCTAGATTAACTGCAGAAACACACGGTATCACTGTTCTTAACACCAAAAGGGTGGGAGCTGTAGATGTGGGCTTAATTCATCATTAAAATAACAAGCTAGATAAGTTAAATGTATGAACCTAGATAGCGAAGCCTGAGTTTTAATTTTACTGATTAACTTTCTGAAGGAATTATCTTTTTCTTTTGACAGATGGAGACAACGGTTCCACTACGATAAATGCTGCATGTCCATTCTCCCATGGCATTGAATTCATTGAACAAAACTTTCCTGGTGCATTATCCCGGTTCACAATGGATTTCCTACTGCTCTATGCTTTCCTACCTGTACTTACCATTATAGCAATCTTGAGCTTCAAAATAAGAGAGAAGATTATTAGCAGGCAGTGAAAAAAGGTAGCAGTACTAACAAAGCTTCAAAGCTTGATCTGCTGGATTTTATATAGAATTTAAGCAATCAAACACATAGAAACACATTCATCTTCCCTTGCTTGATTCTAAGTAGACACTTTCCGTCTTAAAAAACAATGTTCTAACAAGAGTGTGAATGACTTCCTGCTATTCCTGGTATTCCCACCCCTTTTTCCTCTCCCAAATCAGCCATTCCAATAGTATTACAAGTTTTAGAGGACTTCTAAAATTTGATTTAGTCTGCTGATGTGTTCATTCTTCAACAATGTATCTAACGATGCTCTAATGTTTTCCATAGTACTTTTTTTTTTTTTTTTTTTTAAGCTATTACCAATAAGCAGCTAGAATTGCTGAGTAAATCTAGAATTGTTTTGTTTTTAAAGTAATATGCTTTGTTTTGTTACCATCTGTGGGTAACTTTAGAAAGAGAACAAACCAAATATTGTAATAAAAGACAGAATCAAGAAATCACTTTAATCTTATGCATCCCATCCAAACACAGCATCCATGAGTACAAGAAGCAACTTTCAGCAACACAGAAGTTACAAAATGCTTTTGTTTTGTAAGCAATGCCAGATCATATTAGGCAGTTATGTTATTTGTATTTGCTCTTTCTTCTCAGTATTCAGTTCTAAATCTTGTTTTGGAAGCAGTCTGTGAATTACTAGGGAAAAAAATTGTTTATTAATAAAGTATCAGTTCAACTAGGGAAAAACGTATATACAAGTTGTCTCCCTTTTCTTGAAAGAGATGTTATTTCTCTGGAAATCATTCTCATGGGCTCACTAACACATCAAAGGGGTTCATTCATCCAATTAGTAAATAGAAATAAGTAATTCTCAAAACTGAAAGCCTACTAGATGCAAAATTCATAAGCTTTGTTTCATATTCAGTGAAAAAATTATTTATTGCAGAGTTAAGTATACTTGTACCTTAGAATTCCATAGTAAAATAATTAAATTTTACAGCTGTAAGATAACACACATTTTAACAAGTATGAAATCCCCAAGTTAATGCAAGCTTTTCACTTAACTGTGAGGCCAAGATTTTCTTCTAATTATCTTTATGTATAATATTCTCAGATACAAAAGTTACATGAACAAACAATTCAATAAACAAATACATGAAAAAATATATCTAAAAGGATGGATCGATACCAGGTTAATGTGTCTTTGCCATTTTTATGCCCACGGATAGAGTTGTTTATCAGGGAATATTCTTGCATTCTGGTCTGCCAAGTCTCTGTTTAGGCCCTTACTCTCCAAGTCTTAGCTCTCAGAGCCATCTCTGATTTAATGCAGATTTGTCTTGCTTATTCTGACAGAAGAATCAAACTTTATGATACTGAAGCTGAGATAAAGAAGACTTACGCATTTTAGATCAGGCCAAAATTGTTTTTAATTCTATTTTGTTCTACAAATTTTTCTGGAACTACTCAAATAGGTCAAATTATGATGGAAATGCATTCTTAAGCTTTGACTTTGAAGATGCCTGGTGTACTTAACCATGCAGTTCATATTTTGGGTGTGAAAACTTGTATGCATTTACACAGCTGATTAGGGCAGTATTGGTCAAAAAATACATTGAGTAATTTGTTACAAATTATAAAACAGGTAGGAATGACTGATGCCACCTTCATATTCAAATCTTGCAAATGTGAAACTTAGTACACTGTCAGCAGTTCATCAATCAGGACCAAAATCCATTTCTTTCCAAGATTTGGAGGCATTTCTTTTGTATTGTTCAAGTTCCTGAAAAAGAAACATACATAGATATTAATATCCTGATGACTAAAAGCCATAAGATATGTTAACCACCTCATCAATTAAAGCATGTGTGCAGATCAGTCACTGTAGAAAAAAATAACTAGGTGGGTTGTTATTTCTAACAAAATAATACTGAAAGTTTGGCATTTGATACATCTGCACTCACATAATGACATAGGGAGCTAGATTTATTTTTTACATTATTATTATTATTTTTTGCCTAGACACTTGTTTCTAAGGCAGAAGAAAGTTGGGACCCTTTCTTAGATGTTTGGTGTAGAGAAGCCTAACTCCACAAACCGAAGTGTATCATTACATGTATTTTAAGAACAGAAGACAGAATTACTGAACAAAAACTAATTTGTCACATCAACCAAGTGTCCAAGTCAAGGCCTTTCAAAGAGCAAAATGGATTGGCAATTCCTTAGGAGTATGGAAAATAATTGTTTTTTTTTATGCACAGGACTGAACTATTGAAATCTTATACACTGTGTTAGAAACCCCTACAGAACTGAAGCCAGATATACCGAGAATATGCGTGATAAACACATGGCAGATGTTCCCTTAGTGGCGCTGCTGTGGCCCCTGAAGTTGCGCTGCATTTTGTCTTTGCTACCTTTCACAATCTTGTCCAGACAGCAGCAAGCAGAAATGTATTTTGGAGAAAAGCAGTGGTTGTTTAGAGATCAACCCAATCTCTGGTACTGGATATTCATGGAAACGTTCATCACAGCTTGGGACTTTTCAGGAAGTGCAGTAATCAAGACAGACAATGATGCCCCACTTTTAATTTTTGTATTGGTGGGTTCTTTTTTGCAATTTGTAGTTTTAAAAAAAAAAGTTTCAGGTGCCACTGTTCAGTAAAAGTTTACATGTGGATGTAATAGTAAAAAGAAAAACCAATGTGGTAATTACAATTACATATCTTTTAGATGGTAATTAAAAGCAAACAGAGCCTCAAACTGTGGAGATATAAATAGTGTAAATTAGGTGTGAAGCATGGGGCAGGCTGTATTATGGGGTTCTTGACATCAGTGGAACACCAGCAAGGTAAGCAAATGACCTCTTTTCAGTCAAGTAGTGCTACTGGGAATCCTTAAGCCTGTAACAGAAGGTTCTAGCAACACTGCAAAAACCAGTTTCTTTTTCAGGATTTTATAGCTTGGTGTATACTGTCAGAAATTGTTTCTGATTATTTTTTTCCAGCGAAAAAGCTATTTTAAATGCACTGTGATTGCTTTTTGTTGCTGTTAAGAGTGACAAGATACTTGCTCTAATGAAATATCTTTTAGACCTAACCACATGCTATTTGCAATGAAAAAAGCATTCTATCTTACTTAGAAGAACACCTGAACTCTCTTTTAACTACAGCACGCACAAAAAATTTAGTTATACTGAAACTTCTCATTGAGTTCAATTGACTACAGGTATGGTAACCTTAACACATTGTTGCTATGACCTACCTGCAGTATTAAGTTCTGTATTGTAAAAAACGTGCCAGGAAGGTCTTCCAAGGTAGTGATATCTTGTGTTTTATGTGTAACTAAAAAACAAAGCTAGATTCACATTCCGAAACACAGCTGAAGGTCAGATTTAAAATGGGTTACCTGAAAAGCTTCTAAAAGCAAATGTCTGCATTTAGACAGCTCTATGATCTGTCAAGATACTGAATCAGGCTGTGCAAACATACTGCTGTGAGTAGGACTAAGCAGGCAAAAATTCTGGTTTTTATTAGTTGTTTCCATTGTTTGTTGAGGAATTCATGCTAACAGCAACCACTTCAAGAGAAGCTTGAAGCAGCTTTTTGTATGAGCTTCAAAAGAGCCATGCTAATTTAGGAGTAGTACAACTCTTTCAGTAAGATTTCAATGTATTTCTATTCTTGCTCCTAAGTTTACTTAAAAACCAGGAGCACCTCTTCTCAAAATGCTTTAAGCAGAAAAGAACATTCATCCTTTTGGAAATTTACTCTCAAGCCAAAAAGAGACAAAATACAGATTAAAATTATCTGCCAAAGCAAATAAGAAAAGTTAGCCTCCAGGAGTCACAAACAATAACGTCTATGCACTTATGGTTGAAGTAGCTTGGGATGATGAGAAGAAAAATGGGAGGGGGAAGGAGGGAAAAGGACTGAACATAAAGCAGCAATAAGTATAAATGCAGTGGAGATCCTCAAAATTGCTCAAGTGTTTAACATGAGCGACAGAAAAATCATTGCCTAATAACTGTGAGGAAGCTCTAATGAATTTTCTCTTGCAGGCAGTAATTTCAGCAGCTTCACCAGCAGTGCAAAACTATCAGAAAGCACCACAGGTTTCTGAGCAGTAACAGGATTTTTTAATTAGTGCATATCCTTCTGATGCTTACAAGAGTTGAGTTTTACAGTTTACTCACTGATGACTGATGCAGAACAAACTGTGTCTAAATGTATTAAGTTGCATTATGAAATACAAGTCCCGTGAGACTGCATATTGTTCCATCTTTAAGCCAGTCTATACTCAGTATTTCGTTCCCTCACTATTAATATGAAGTAACTGTGATCTCAGAACGTTCGGAACTGGTGGCAAACCTCCAGCAGTTTGGTAGTAGAAGTAGAGAGAATACAGGGATATTTTGAGAAGTACATGTATCCTATTTGATGCTAAGAAAATAACTTCAGTTCCAACAGCTTTCTCAAATGCTACAAAAAGGGGTAAATACATCATGCAGATCAGATGTGCAGAATTAATAATTACTTTCAGTGTGCTTAGAATGTTTTAAATGTTATTGGTGTGCCAGCAACTTGTCCTAAATGCCTCAACTCTGGCTAAAAGTGAATTTTTTTCCTTTCTTTTATATATATATTTTTAACCTTACTGCTTCTGTACTTCTGTGCTGCTATAAATTCTTCAACTGTCAAATGGGGAAGATCCCAGCTATCTCATAAAGGGATTGAGAAGAAAGACTTAACTGATGTTTGTGAGGCACTCAGATAAGATAACATTACCACACATTCTTAGAGAAAAAAATTAATACTTTTGTGTTCACTGAAGTGTCTGAATGGCAGGTTGAGAAATAAGGTACACAAAGAATGAGTATAATGAAAAGAAATGCTGAACAACTGAACTGAGACATCAGCAAAATAGTACATGATCATGTAATTAAAGACAATACTGTAATGTCTACAAACAAGGAGTAAAATTACGATCGCAGGAAAAGCTTTAATTGTTTCATTCCCTCAGTCCTAAGAGACTGGCACTGCAACTTTAACTGTCTTTTTTAAATATGGTTTCTGACTGAACTTGCTCTCAGTCTGTAAGACAGTAAAAAGAAACAAGTACTAGGATTAAAATAAGCAATTAAGATTCAGCAGAAGTTTAATAACTGTGCTCTAATAAGGCTCTTAAACCAACAATAAAATGCCTGTGCTGTACCCACTTGGGTATGTTTTCATGCCAACACAAAAGAGCTTACTCTTGGCAGCTGTATCAGCACCCTACATAACCTTCCTCACATGAAGACTAGCACTTCTCTGGAGAAAAGGAAAGATGCTCCTGCTGTAACGGTGAGTGTCACAACCCTCTGCCCACTAGCACTGGACAGGAGGTTCACTGCACAGCATGAAAGCTTCTATTTTGTTTAATCTGAAGTGCTCTTCTGAAGTTCTGCAATATGCTCATAGCAGGACAAAATGCTGAGAAAAATATGGCTGGTTCTCATGTTGGCCAATATATGATTAACTGATCCCAACCACAATCAGATACCGATGGGGTGTGAATAACAGTGTCAGATCTGACACCAAAGATGACACCAGTTGTGAATGACATGGTTCATTAGCCCATTATTGCAACACAGGACAGATGTTTTAGAACCAACCAAATGAGTGACATGGTTGTTTTTGATCCAGAACCTAAAAAAAAAATAAATAGTAATAAGATAAATCTACAGATAGACAAGTTTGGTGTTTGTGTGACTCATGAGAGGATTAGCAATAGGATGTATTTCTAATCTTCAGATAAATTTTCATAGTTTTATTTCTGCATATTTCATACGTTCAGTGTTGCTTATTCTGCCCCAGCCCTCCTTTCTCCTGTTTTACAGGTTTACAGCCTTGTTCTTGAAGATATGCTGCCATTACTTGTAAGCTGACATTGAAAGACACCACCTATCTACCAATCCCTAACTGGGAGGCTTTCCAATTCCTTGAGCTCGAGGTTACCTTTAACATTTGCTTCTATGAACAAAGCTACAGTTAAGTGTCCAGATAAAAGGAGTTTTTATCCTTTATGCAGATCTCAAAAAGGTCCTAGATGCTACATTCTCTCAGAGAATAACTCCAGAGCATAAGAAAAGTAGTAAACAATTACAAGAGCATTACTTTATATAAATCTGCAAGTAACAGCTATAGTTTAAAAACTAGGAAAAGAATTCCGAAAAGACATAATTGAGAAAGGTAGAGAGTATATGTAGAACGAAGGTACAGTGTGGAAAAGGTAGCCACAGAGCTTTCCAGAGCAAAGAGGTTTAGTAATAGGGTGGTAAGTCTCATCCTTAACTCTGAAAATAATAAGGAAGGAGAATATTCTGGTCTAAAAGAGTGTATCCTTCTCACAGCTAATTTTATATTAAGAATCAGCACTGCCGATGCTGAAGAGATGCATTTATTTCTCCACAGACCCCAGCTGCACACAAACTCTACGAACTTGGAAATCCCTGGAGAGAAATACATTCTGCAAACCACATGGATTTATTCAGAGACTGGCTGGTGCTAGGGCAATTCCTCACAAGTGGAAGGTAATAGAGGAAACAGCCTTGATTTTATTAAAATTTAAATTGCTATGGTTATCTATGAATCAACCACGAATGATTTACCATCCCACCTAAAGCCAGAATTTCAGCCAGGTATGCTAATTATTTTATCAGATACGCAGACAAGACGTTATTTTATTTTTATTGTTACAATATTTCTGTGTTTGTTTTCCTTTAAAGCTTATCTTTGAGATAAACAAGCAAACCGACAGTCCAAAGTGGCACATTAACAGAGTGTGTCCAGGAAAGTAAAATGAGCTAAAAGGATTTCAAAACGTACCCTGGCATGATACGAAACTTTCATATTGCATTATGATTGCATTAGCAACATGCTGCATAATAAACATTTCAATATATTGTTCTTCCTAAATAACAGATAGTATGAAGGTCCAAAAAGTAATGCCAGACCTATGATGCATTTAATGTTTCCCTTTAAAAATTGGATTTTTGTGCCACTTTTCATATAAGTGGAAAATTCAAAGATATCTCAAGACTGTTAACTACATAGTTTTTTGTATTTTTTTCTTTTGTTTTTTAAAGATGTACATTGCTATCTTGGTGCATTTCAAATTGAATGACATTCTTTGAGAATAAAACATTTTAATAATGCGCAAATAATCTTGTAATAATTGAACTTTATGATAGAGAAGTTTAGAAAATAGGTGCAGATAACAAAAGTAATTTTCTCTTTAATGCTCAAATTACTTGTAGTGGTCCAACTAAAAGAAACTACACTCGTTTCCAATGCCCTTGAACAGATTAATGTTCTAAAAGCTTTTCTCTTTCGTTTAAAAACAGAAAATTTAATAATTTCCTGCACGATTTAATCAACGCATACCAGCAACTTGTTTTGCAAGATGTTACTGTTATCTAAAAATAACTTAATATGCCATATAGTTATACTGGGTATTAAGATTATAATTCCAAAAGCAATGTGCTTTACAAATGTTAATGATTTCTAAGACTGCTTTTGATATAACAGAAATTCCGAACTGACGCCTACATTAACAGGACGGTACAGGTAATGTGCAAGTTTGAATTGCTTTATTCTTTCACATTATTAAGGCATTTCCTTGGATCAGGTAACTAACTACAAGGTTACAGCCTTTATGCAATCTAACCAAACTAAAAAAAAAAAACAAAAAACAAAAAACAAAAAACTGGATAGCAGTAATAATGAAATACTTTGCTTTCTTTTACATTAATGCAAAAGGATGGAATTTGCTATGGTATTCTACAGTTAGTTGGGATGAACTGCAGTGCAGCTCAATAGAACTGCCTTTCATCTTAAGCAGGGTGCTTTCATCTTAAGCAGGGAGACCTAAATTGGTACAGTCTTTCTTTAGAAAGTCTCCTGCTCTCATCAGCTTAAACACCTGTTATAAAAACCTGCTTTAACCATAGTAATTTAGTACACAAAGAAGTGAAATGAGAAGCAGATAGCCTACATATAACTTCTGAGAATTTAGCAACATTTTTCTCAGTCATTCTAGTGAAGAATTTTCTCCACGTGAAACAAATGAATCTTTAAGAAATACAGAATTTTCCAAGTAAACATGCTGTCTTCCTTCCAAAAAAACCCAAATGTATAAGTCTTGGACTGTGCTTGATAGACCCATACCTATGATATTGGTAAAGCCTACGTTTCTACTTGTGGGAGGTTTTACATTTATATCGATAAGGCAACAATCTGACCTTAGCCAATTCAACATAGAATTTATCTATAAAACTAATTTATTTTTAGTGCAATGATTCTGGAAGAGAGAGAGGAAATGTTTGAATTATCCACTTCTAAAGTGAGCAGCCAAAACCTGGAGATCTAAGAACACTCCACCTGCAATGTGTCTACCTTGAGAAAAAAACCAACAACATATCTATGTGGAAAAGAGTCCTTAAAGTAAAGTACAAGTTATGTAAAGACAAAAGGATGATATGAATATATTCTGCAATTACTTGAGCAATGCTGCTGATTCTGGGATACCTGATTGTGAAGAGCCATTGAAGAACAAGCACACACCTGGTTTTTCTGAGCTCTCATGACATCAACTTCATACTCAGCATATTGTGAGTCCTGTGCAGGGTCCTTGCTGTCTTGTAAATCACTGAAACTCTTGGAGGAAGAAATGAGAGAAACACACAAGGTAAATCTTATGTCACTTTACCTTCTGTTCCCTTTACAAGAATAGGCAGTGATATACATAAGATGGATGCATTTTGTTTGTAATAGAAAGGTATTAAAATCTTGCATTTATGGACAAAAAAAAATGCACTGTGGGATATAGATCAGATAAAGCAACACAATTTATTATCTTGGTTTGGTAAAATTTTAAGACAGTAATGGTGCAGAGAAAAAAAGCAAAAATCCTTTCTGGCCCATGACATTGGAATGGATGCCCAGGGAGGTGGTGGAGTCACCGACCCCGGGGGTGTTCAAGGAAAGGCTGGATGTTGTGTTGAGGGACATGGTTTAGTGGGAGCTGTTGGGAATAGGTGAATGGTTGGACTGGGTGATCTTTTAGGTCTTTTCCAACCTTGGTGATTCTATGATTCTATGATTTTGGCATAGTTAAGGATATGCATCTCAGTGATTTGAATACTGAAGATGATATGTCATATAAAGCTGCCAGAAGCATTATTTCAGTATCCATGAAACACTTCAAGAGTTTATTACTATTGTTTTGCCTGTTCTGAAATTTCATTTACTAGACTTCAGAGAATGATACATTTAATTCCACAGAAGAAAATACACTAACAGAAAAGTTTTAAATAAGGTTTTTTCAGATGTTGCGCTGCATATTTCTTCACAGTCGTAACGAATGGAAAGTAGCAGGCAGCTAACCATACAAATAACAGAATAAAATAAAACAGAATTAAAACTATCATAAAATGAAGTGAAGGAAATTGTCATTGTACTGAAACACCTTTGAAGCCTAAAGCATATTTTGGAAATCTCACTGACGGAGCTTGCAAGATGAGAAATGTATCTGGGCACATCTAAAAATGTCAGTGTCAGCTGTACCCTTAAGTGGGGTAAAATCTGAGTAAAGGATTGCTACTCTGAGTTATCTTACCCTTTAGAAAGGGCCAGGGATCTAACTTTAGAAAGCACCTGCTAAGGTTCCATGATGTATGGCTCAAAGATAACCATTTTGGTTGCCCAGAAATAATTAGCTAAAGAGGCCACACAATTACTGCATTGCTTTCTGGCAGTCCTATCTACCTGCAGATTTGAATAACTGGTACAGTGTTAAAGTTATGGTCAAAACTCAGTCCTGTGCAGACACCGAATTTAAATATTCACATCCCATATCCAACAATTACCAGCTGTGCTGGGGAGAGATGGACAGCAACTGTATGGTAAGCAAAAGTTATGTGAAAAATAATTTTATAGTTTTCGAAAAGTAAAACCAGTCTTTACCATATGGGTCCCACTGCACAAAGAGGTTACAAGAAACAGAACTCCCAAATGAGACTGAAATTCCAGTCACTGGACTGGAAGATCAATAATATGTAGTAATATTACTACTATTCTAAGAGAAAAGGATCTGTGCAGCAGACATGTAAACACCTACCTTGGGAGGAAACATCTTCTCAAACACCTTCTTCCACAGTTCTAAAGGTGTGTTTGCACGCATCTTTCCAATGTTGCTGTCAGAGGTGGGTGGTGGCCCTAAGGATCACAGCACAACACAACACAGTGCAAGTTACCATAACAACTGATAGGAACTACTGACCCAGCTACTTTAATACTTTACTACTTTACCTTCTACAGTGACAAGCTGCTACAAGTCTGGGAGGCAATTCTATATTACATTCTATTTCACATTTTCTTTTAGATCAAAGCTTCTTGGTAGCTTACTACTTGAGGTAGTCCTGATACTTCAGTAAGTTACCTGAAGTAATTCTCAATAATATAAATACTGAATTGCAGTTTAAAATTTTCCACGCCGTTTGCTTCAATGATGAGTCGAAACAGCTAGTGTGCTTACCTTGTAATAGCTTAATATATGTTTCTAACTTTCAAAACCAATTAAGCAACAAACACAATGAACATCAAATGTCCCTACCTATTTGGCTCAGTGAATCCAGGCCTGCTGGGATAAATAGTGGTTTGCTGTGATCCACTGATATGGACTTGCTAAACAGAAAAAAAAAAATACATGTTAAGAGAACATTTAGTAATGAACTAGTAATTACATTATCCTACTAAGGATGGACTCATATGGGGCTTTGTACAGAGATATATGCAAGCAAAAATTTATTTATTTATAATGGTGCCTATATTTCTATTCTGTCAGTTCAGGGAATAAAATCAAGAATTACCACTACTCTGTACAGAGATGTGGAATTTTATTCCTGTCTCAGCTGCACAAGAATTTTGCAGAGGTTATCTTATTGTGAAGAAAATAGAAGTTTTGGTCATCCAAGTCTTTTTGTTAAACAGCCCATAGACTCTGGGCAAGACATTTAATAGCTAGACAACCCTCGTTACCTTCTATCGTAGCCAAATGCCAAGTGATTAATAAGAGCACGAGCTTTCAGCAGGAGAGCCTCAGATTTACTGGTAAACTAAATGAATTAGAAAACAAAATATACATTATGATTTTCCATCACAGAAATACTGTGCTACATCATCTGCATAGGCTATTTCAGATAGAGCTTGGCTAATTCCTGACCTAAAATAAATTACTGGATTTACTACAATTAACAATTTAAACAAACATAAGCTGTTCAGCAACTAAAATACGCCACTGCCACAAAATGGCTTTACAGAAATGATGGCTGATAAAATTATAACCACGTTCTGATGTAAAGGAGCCTAAGAGGCAGCTGTTTTGGGTTGTGATCATGAAGATTTCTGCCTTTACTCAGGAGATGATCCGAAAAACTCCTATCAGTTTATATTCCCACATAAATGCTTTGTCAAGTCTCACGGTTCTGTTGTGTTGGTAGTTCCTACTCATTAGTGTGGAAAAAGTCCTTGGTTTTATTCTTTGCATGTGTGTGGTGATCTATGCTTAAATTGCTGCAAAGTCATGCCTCTGGAGCCAGGCTTTAAAATTTTCAGAAGCTTGCCCACTAGACCTAAGCTAAGTTGATGTTTCTACCAAAGAGGCCGGTTTGCTCATGTTATCCATCTAGATCACACTCTTATTCTTGCCTGTTTTATCACACCAACAAAAACTTTTATAAGCTGCGCAGTGAACTCAACATTAGAGCTGAGTTTGCTAACAGATAACCACATTTCTAGTTTTTTGCTGGCACAGGGCATTGGGCATTTTGTTTATATAACTTGTATTCATCCATCTGCTGACAGTACCTGTAACCTAGTTTACAAACTAGCTCATTAAGAAAGCTACTGTAAAACTAATTAAACTCTGTCTTCTCTAGGATTTTCTATTTTAATTTTTGAATATTTTGTAGCACGAGTGTTACTCATCTCATTATTCCTTAATTACTAAGTGAATATAAATACCGCCAGTGATGCTCCATAATAATGTGAAACAAATCGAAGTGTCCTGCTTATTATTTTCCTCATTTCAGAGTCAAACTCCTAAAAAACAAACCAAAAAAAATTGATATTGGAACACATGTAAGAAACAAAAAAAACCCCAAAACATTACAGCTAGAACTTTTCTTTTTCATTAAACTGCAATGCACTTAGGCTGCAATATATGAGGCGTTCAGCTGTCAGCATAATTATATCTTAAGACAGAATCAGTAACAGCCTACTCTGAAAAGAAATGTCACAATTTCCCTTTGTTTCTTTTTTTCAGAGGGAGCCTAATTCTGGCAATATGTTAGTCCAGAAAAGTTTTTAATTGGGAATGTGTATTCAATTTTCAATTAATTTATTTCACAGTTCTTGAAATTCTAAAAGCAAAGAAATACTGACTTGTAGAAGAATCAGCATTTTCTTCCTTTTTTGTGAAAATATTTGTTTCAGTAAACCTTTGGCTATGTGCTCTTTAAATTCTAATAACTACAAGATTTGAAAGTTGCACAAAAATATCATTTATATTCCTTCAACACAAGATCATACAGATGGCATGCCCTGGATCAAGGGGATGAAAACCTGTCCCACTCAAGCTTGCAGCAGTTCGTCCACAGACTCCAGTGGAACTGGGCTGTTATTCCGTGTTCATTACAGGAGAGTCACTGGTTTTTAAAGTGGTCGGGGCTTAGTACAAAGCCTCAGTATGAAAGAATGCATGGTACTTATTAATAAAAATTAAGTAACTCTGAGGTGTTGTAGTACCAATGTACCATGTAGTCATCCAGGTAAGCAGAAGTTCCAGTACAGCAGCTAAAACTCAAACACACTGTTCCTAGCTTCCCATGATCAAGTGCTACTTGGAAAGTGGGTATGTATTTGGTTGGGCTGGGAGAGAACCCAGCAGTACATTTTTTCCTTTCCCACCAAAAGATGCAATTATTCATTTGACTGTAAAAAAATCTTTGAAAAAAGGTGCAGAACAAAATGGTAGCTTGTTGTTGTTGCTGTCACAATTAATAAAAAAATTACTTACATGAAATATATCGTATTTGCTTCCAATAATCACCAAGGGTATTGGAAAAGGGTCAACCAAGTCATAATCCTATTAAACAGATATAATGGTTAAGCAGAATAAGCAAATTACAGAAGATTATAACAGTTGAAACAACTGAAAAGGGTTAAAATTAATTCAAGGGAGACGAGGTTTATTTTTTCCAGAACCTTAAGTAGAATGAATAAACTTCAATCCATGCCACGTTCTCCAAATTGATAGCAATGGATGGCAGTGGCTCTGGAGGTGTAGATATAACTTAGATGGTTAACATCTGGCCCAAGTTTTAATAAGCAGATAACAGTAATTCTCAAGTTATCTGGAAGGTTTTCATGTAGTCTTTGTGAAATGAGACAAATCCCCTCTCATTCATAAGATGAATTTGTCAAACTGCTTTGGTTGCAGCAGAGTGGAAAAGAAATATGTTGTAGCAGATCTAACTGTTCACTTCCAAAGCATACAGACTAAATGACAGAGAATTAGCAAGAAGCTGCAAATAAATGACAGTTAGAGAATTAGCAAGAAGCTGCAAACACAGGAAGTCCTGTACTGTGAAGGCAGAAATAATTGCTGCATTCCTACACTGTCAAGGCAAAACCTCCTCTACGGTTTGTTATATAAAGTGCAGAACTCAAAAAAAAATAAAAATGAATACCCAAAGTGTTTATTCCTTAACTAATAAAAAACTAACATCAGAAACATTAAAACTGGCACCCTGCCTATTTAAACAAGGTCTGCACTTGATACATTTCTTATGTAAAAATCAGAGCCAACAATCATTTATCCAGAATAATGGAATATAACAAATCTTCCAAAAAAACAAAACAACACAAGAAACTCTAATCTCAGATTCCTAGCAATCCTGATTATCTTAAAAATGCTTAGCTATAAAAGAGCAAATAGTTAAACTGTAAGTGATGATATTTCCTCCCACAAAACTGACATAGAAAGTTTAATGAGAGCCCAGTAGTAACAGAACATTTTGTTTTTGTCTGTTGCTTATGATAATGAAAACAGAATGGAAGTTTTAGAAGGTGTAACTGTGTTTCCTGCAGGGTAACAAGTCTTCTAAACCATTAGAGGCATTTTCCTTATTCTTAGTGAAAAATGTTAGCAGTTTTCCAGTTGCTAAGCCCTTTTCAAAGCTTGACATTGCAGTCATGATTTGTTGCCAGCTGTGCTTGTAGGCACATTTTTTCTTTTTGTGAAATACCTTCTTAAAAATTAAAAGTGGAAATTATTATCCAGCAGAACTCAGACTCCATAACTCTCTTTATATTGCTCTCAACAAAAATGGAGAAGTTGCTTACCTAGCTCAAAAACTGAGAAGTATTTACTACATTGCAGCATTTTAGAAGTTACAGCAACTAGATTTATGTGCCAAGTCTTTGAACTGTTAAATACTTATTTATCCATTATATATACACAACATTTGCAGAGGTTTCATGCACAATGATTTTTCATTTCTATTGCGCATAATCTAGTTTGGCTTTTCCAGAGATTTAGTTAGCAATTATGTTTAAAGGACTGATGTTAACATTTCTGAAACTTTATAATTTAATTAGTTGTCAGATTATCAAAAGGCATTGAGTTTGTGATAGACATTTAAATAAATGCAAAGTATATAGTCATGTTGATGGCTGTTATAACTATATTCTTTGCTTAAATTTGTACCTTCAGCTAGTCTCTTGCTAGATGACTTTTGTACATTCTAGTTTTCATCTTCATTTTAAAAAGATGAGGGGGGAAAAAAAAGCAAACTGCTACTCTAAAACTATTTCTTTTGATAGGTGTAACATGCCATAACAATCACATTAGATATCTAACAAAAAGATATAAGAAACCTTCTTTCCTTGTTTCTGCTCTTATTGAATTTTTATTAAATTGCTATAATTTTCCAGTGAACAGGTTCATCTACATCAAATGGATTTTCAGTCATGCAGAAAAATCTAAAAGAGTTGTTTATCATTTTGAAAAGCATTATCTTTAACTGTATAAAGGCCCGTGACATCTGGAGAAAATATTAGAAGTAACTTACTGGATGATCCCTCTGTAGATTGTTCTGCATCTTCTGCTTAATTTCAGCAGCTGCTTCAGGATCTGCCTTTTCCAGTTTGGCTAAAATTTTATTCACGTGGTTTCTGGTGGCCTGCAGAAGATTCTCCATAGTCATCCACAGTTCATTAGGTTTGGATAGATCCAATACGAGAACTACTGCAAATGACCTATTAAAAAAAGGCATTATCTGCTCAGATCCTCAGTGTGTGAGACAAAAACAGCCTTTTCCTTCACTACCATAAGTGTGGTGCAAAGGCTTAAAGCAACAAATATGAAAATACAAAGGCTGAAATAGAATTGAATGTGACAGCAAAGAGAGATGGCTTTTAAGTGTGCCCCAAGCACTGAAGAAACCTCTCCATTGTCTCTTCTTCTATTGCTTCAGTAACTTTCCATCAGAAGTTTTAGGGGATTTTATGTCTCTGACTTTCTTCCTGGAGGCATTGTTTCCAAGCCCGTCATCTCTGAACTCTACACTCCCGGCTGAAGCAAAGTTAGTAAATGGACAGAATCTTTATCAAACACAAATGCATTAGAAATTTCTATACTTTCATATTTCTTTGTCAGATTACACAGAAAAAGCTGGTTAAAGGAATGATCTGTCTGATGGATGGTGCCAATTACCAGGAACCTCAAATGAGTATATCAGAAAGTCTTCTGAAAGACAAATGGAAGAAGTCAGAGCACTCAAAGCACAAAACTACCAGGCTCCCAAGACTCCAAAAGCATTAGATTGTAAACGTGAAGGGAACATCACAAACACCACCAAATGACTAGATTTAGTCATTTTTTTCCCCATGTTCCATCATGACATGAAAAAGGGGATTCCAGACCACAGTGGTTATCAGGAATACAACAAACTAAAACGAACATCCAATTTCACCTTCAAATGCTGTGGAAAAAATGTGATGAAAATTCTCTTGGTGCAACTATAGTTCATGGAACTTTTACATAAGAAAGTTGCTTGAGTACAGATGGATGAGAAAACTAGTGAAAAGCTTGAGACAGTAGAATTTTTGAGTAGTATGTTGAAGTTAACATGGATGATCTTGAAGAACAGTGTTGCTCTCTCATAAAACAATCTTAAAATTATCCTCATGAGAAGATTCCTTCTCATGAGCTTCTGAGGTGGAGCTCAGTTAAGTTCATTCAGATATCTGAAAAACAGGTGAATTTCCCCCAAGCCCATTCAGCAACAGGGTTTCTGGAAGTGCTTTTCTTCCATTTGAGTCCCTCACTAAACAACAGCATTATCTCAATAGTCAGAGCAGCAGCAATGTATGTAACAGAAATTATCTTTCCCATTGTTGTTATTTTTCATAGAAGTTAAAGCTGATTACCAAAGAAATGCAACAATGCATCATAACACAAAGGTAAAACACATCTTTGATCAGCACATTCTTACTTCTTCATGCAACTTTTTAAATATTTCCTCTTCCTATGCTATGCCATCACTGATTATTCTCACTATATTCCCTGTGTTCATTCTCTTCTCTTGTAATCAATTGAACAGTTTTAGTTCCTTTCCGAAACATCATCTATCACATCTGACCTTGTTCTTATCAGATGGTCACTTCACTTCCTAATAACCCAGTATCCACTTTTATTTGTAATTTTTTTGTCTCATCTTTCACCTTAAAATGCTGCTCCTCGCAGAGATAGTTCCTGTGTCTGCATACAAAAGCAGGGAACCAAATTTTTTTCTCTGCATCCCAAGTTGTTTTTTCTGCTCATTCAACAAGCATAAAAAGAGACTACGTCTTTTCTTTTTCTGCATTTCTTGTTCCATCTACTTAAGGCCAACCCATTTCCTTCATGTTATTTCTTTCTCTTGTTCTTGGAGACAGCTAAGAACTTGTCTTATTAGGAAAGGATTGTGAAAAGGAAGTTCAAAGCAGAGTACTGATGGTATTACCGTGATTTTTTACAAAAAAATTCTCAAATATGTTATCTAATATTTTGAAAGAATTTTCTCTAACAAGCAGTCTAGAGATTTACTTATGCTTGACAGGCAGCTGAAAATAACTTTGGAATTTTAATATTAATCGTTTACCTTACGTTGTTGACGGTGATTGGTATTCGAACCAGTTCCAATAACGAGGTTCCACCACCTATTTCCCAAAAATGAGCTATATCTTTGGGCTGCAAAATAGATTATGTTAGAAATGCACGTGTTCATGAAACACCAAGAGAGAGTGCTGGTTCTGATACACTGAGTTTTTGTGCAAGTGACTCAGAACAATAGCACATACTATTTCATCAGTGCTTCCTAAAAAACAAAACCAAACAAAAAAATGTTGAAGAAATTCCACAGAACGCCAAAGGCTCCTGCTGTGCCTATGACAGCCTCCATGAATGACTACTTTAAGGTAAAGAAGTTGGGAAGCAACATGATTAATGATAAATATTACTATATTATATATATATATATAAAGAAGGATATATATATATCAGCTTTTCATCCTTCTTTTTATTTACTGCAGCTCAAGAGTAGTGGTCTCAACTGAAAAAGTGATCAATCTTTACATTGCAACTTAGCTTCCACAGAAAGTTTCAAATGATTTTTATCTCTCAGATTTTCTACTCCATGAATCACAGAATCACAGAATCACCCCGGTTGGAAGGGACCTCAAGGATCATGTAGTTCCAACCCCCCTGCCTAGCAGGGCCACCAAACGTACACATTCAGATCAGGTTGCTTCAGTAACAGCAACAAGAACAGCAACTGCCTGCAGCAACTTGTTACTGCTGGACAGTACTGTGCAGTGATCAGAATGGGTTCAATATTCCCACAACCTGCAGAGCAAAGTTAGTGATACTGACACATAAACCAAAACTTAATTATGATTTACTGCATTCTGCATACTGCATTGATCTACTGCATTCTAGTGATAGGGAAAAATACATTTAAGATTAAAAAATTTTTAATAAAATGATGATCAAAAAAACCTTCTTTTTTCCTCCACAAATAATAAAGTAAAAACCTCCAAGCTAAGAATAACTACATATTACTGTATGTGTGTGTGTGTGAAATAAACTACAAAACTACATACGTAAACAAAGCTGAACTTTCTGAGTACTCACTGCATTGTGTCTCCTTGCCCTTCTCCCGAAGGTATATTCCAAAACTAACGTTGGCTTTGGAATCTCTTCCCTATCCAAAGAAAAATAATTTCATTGACAAGATGCTCTAAATAAGTAAAGTTAATTCTACTTTTGTTATATTTATCAATCAGTTCAGAATTTAGCTTACAAACAGCAGTACAAAGAAGACACTTTAATACAGCAGTGCCTTTCTTCTACCAAAGAAGAAGAAAGAACAGCACCAATCTGAACAGACAGCCATTTAAGCACTCATATTGGAGAAAAGTACCAAAGGGGTCAGATGACACATAGTAGTGAAGGGAAGTAAATTCAATCTGCAAGCAATCAACTGGACACAAAATACAATGCCTGTATACTGGATTATGAATTATCATACAACATAACTAGTCCTGTAAAATTCTAAAAAATACACTGCAACAAAATAAAAAGGCTTATATCTCATTATCAAACCCCAGCAAGCAATCAACTAGATTACATGACTACCTCTACTAGTTAGATACATTTTAAACAATTCTCTTTTACTTGCAATTGTTCCTTATAATGTCCTTTATTATGATCAGCCTTTAGGTACCCACAGTTGAAAAATACTTAACACATACCTCTCAAGACACCTCAGTATGATAGTGGTCTTCCCCTGGAAATGAAAAAGAAAGAACTCCTCTATTGTAACATTATTAAGGCCTAAGCTTTTATCACTAAATGAAACTAATTGATGTAATATTCCTTTTATGAGGCATCTGAAAAGTGTAAAGTCATGTAATTGTAACTGTGATGGAAAACTAACTGCCAACTTTCTATCAGAATCAAGTTACACTGCTGTTCTAACTGCTAGTTAGAGGCTGGACAGATACCAATCCTTCTAAAATTAAAATTCTATTCTGAAAAGAAAATAATACTAACAGATGTCAGCTACAGAGTTACTAATGACCAAACCTCACAGGACAATGTAAAGGACAACGTTAGTAGTAAAGAAGTAAAACGACCTAGGTCATAAGAATCCTAGAGTCACTTAATGCTTTTGGTTGGAAGGGAGATGAAGCCCATGCATTTCCAGCCCCCAGCTCAGCTGCCCAGGGCCCATCCAACCTGGCCTTGAGTGCCTGCAGGGATGGGGCACCACAGCTTCCCCTGGCAGCTGTGCCAGTGCCTCATCGTCCTCTGAGTGAAAAATTTCCTTTCTTTCAGTTTAAAACCATTCCCCCTCGTCCTATCAGTATCTACCCACATAACAAGTCACTCTCCCTCCTGTTTCTGGAACCACCACCTTGCAGTCTGTTATGATGTGTGCTCAGACCTGCCTGATACAGACACAGTGCCCAGCAAGATGCCAGTGCCTGTAATCACAGCAAGGCTGGTATAAGTGCACTTGAGTCTGTCTGTTCCCAGTTAGCTCTTCACAAGGGGAAGCCTCTCATTTCCAGAAGAACTGAGTGAACACCACACTTGCCAGATCTCTTCCCCGACAGCACCTGCGCTCAAAGAACGCACCCGATGACCACCATTACCCCGTTTTTGCTTCCCATAAACAACACTGATTTTTCCCAAACTTCCACGCGCTCGCCATCGTCGCCGGAGTTTTCTCTCTTCTCCACTTCGTCTCTAGCAATATCCCACAGAGTATCGCTGCTCGGGAAAACAGAACGGGCGCGCCGTTAGAGAAGAACAAGCCGCCGCCCGGCAGGAGGAGGGCAGCCCCCTCCCCGCTTCCCCCACGCCACGTTACACCGCAGAGGCCGAATCTGCCTTTTTACAGCCATCTCCCCGCCCGCCTTCCCCGTGCCCGCACGGCGGCGATGCCGTGCCCCCAAAGAGGCGAGGAAGGGCCGAAGGCCCCTTCACCAAGCTCCGGCGGGCCTCCCGCTCACCCGGCCTTGGGCATCGCCGCTGTCCGCCCGGGCCCGGCTGCCTGTCGCCATGGGAACGGCGCGGGGCGCCCCGGGAGCTGTAGTTCCGCGGGGAGAGGCGGAAGGGGGCGGAGGCAGCTCTCAGCCGTGCTCCGGTCCGCCCTCCCTCAGCCCTTCTTATAGGGGCTGGGCGGCACAGGGAAGTTTCTCCCCTTCTCGGGGTTGTGGGGTTGCTCGCTGGTTCCTGCCGCTTCGTTTTCGGGGCTACAGAGCGTGGCGAAGTGCCTTGTGGAAGTGAGTGCGGCTGGTGAGAGCAGGCTGAGGTGGTGGAGTCGCTGGGTGGTTTGCAGGTGGTGGTTGGAGCTCTTGTTTTAAGGCGGCACGCTGCTTCATGCGCGAGGTCAGGGACGGACGAGCTGTAAATGCTGGGACTTGTTAACAGAACCGTACAGGATCCTGAGTTGAGGAGATCCGCAAAGGTCACGGAGTCCACTTTCTGTCTCCACGCAGCACCGTACGAACGAAATTCACTCCCTGTGTCTGAGAGCATTGTCGAAATGCTCCTTGAGCCGCAGCGGCTGGGGCCGTGCCCACAGACTGTGCAGCCCGTTCCACGTCCCCCGCCCTGTGCTGCAGACCCTGTCCCTGACCCTCAGCTGTCCCTGACCCTCAGCTGTCCCTCCCCTCAGCTCCGTGCCGTTCCCTCGGGCCCCGAGCAGAACTCAGTTCTGCCCTCCGCTCCCTGTGAGGAGCTGCAACCGCCATGCGCCTCCTCTCAGCTCCTCTAGGCTGGATCTGGCTGCTCCTCGTACTCCTCGTCCTCCAGGTACTTCACTGTCTTTGCAACCCTCCTTTAGATCCACTCTAAGAGCATTATGTCCTTCTTAGGCTTTATCACCCAAACCTGCACCCTGTGCCCAAGGGGAGGCAGTGCAGAGCAGGACGACCCTTCCCCTCACGTGGTGGTAGCAGTGCTGGGCCTGTGGCACCCCAGGGAGCAGCTGGCCCTTTGGGTTGTCAGGGCATGCTGCTGGCTTGCATTCAACTTGCTGTTATGCAAAACTCCTAGATTCCCTTCTGCGGGGCTGATCTCCAGCCTCTCAGCCCCTAGTCTGTATATGCCCAGGGCTGCCCCGTCCCAGATGCAGAATCCAGTGCTTCTCATGGAAAATTCCTTGCTGTTGGTGATTGCCCAGCTCTCCAATCTCTCCAAATCTCACTTCAAGGCATCTCTGCCCTCGAGGGAGTCAACAGCTCCCCCCCAGTTTAGAGTTGTCTGCAAATGTACTTGGTATACCCTCAAGTCCTGGATCCAAGTCATGGACAAAAACATTGACTAGAACTGGCACCAGAATGGCCGTTGTTTTCTAGTTTAATATTTTACTTCAGCCTTAGGCATTGTTTGTTAATAAACTCAGCTTCTGTGAAACTGTGGAATGATCTCATCTTATGAGTGGGAGGTAGGAAGGAGGTAAACCTGAGCAGACAAGTCACGAGTTTGGGCAGTCAGGGAAGTGACCCACAGTCCAAAAGAGCAACAGGAGCTGGCCTTCTGTATCTGAGTAGCTGCTTTGTGTCTTGAGAGAGCTGAGGTAGAAAAACCAAGCTTAAACAATCTCTTACCTACTGTTTTGATTGAAATCTGTAAATAGGCCTCACATGTAATGATTAAGTCAGAATTCATCCCAACTGCTTCATCCTTCCACATACGTTTATGTTGCAAGAGACAGGCCTCATGTACTATTTGCTCTTTGAAAACATTTTTTCTCCATTGTGACTTCCATAGTCACACAGTTTCAGTTCCAGAAGTCTTAATCTGATTATGTTCCCTTGTCTCAATTCACTTCCCGCTTTTTACATGACTCTTCTAAGGCATTTGCTAACCTCTGCAGAAACCATGGTATTGTTAAAGGAGCTTCTGGATTTTCATTACTTAGTGTTGTACCTCAGCATGTCTTCCTGATGCCATTCTAAACACGTTTCTTCCGTAATTTTCATTTCCACGACACATTTCTGGTATCTCGCTATATGAAGCTAGTGCTTGACCTACAATTGGCAGATAAAAGCCCTGCCAAAGAAAACAAAACTGATGTGGGAATGGCTCCTGGAACTGTGATCTCATTATATATAACTGCAACAACAGGAGTATAACACTAAAAACCAAAGTATGTTTATGATTATTCGCTCCATGGCAGAATGGCAAAAAAACTGGAAAATGCTCCAGTACAAATCTGAGCTGAGGGCAAAGTAAAGGGTTCACTCTTAATAAGCTCTGCTAAAGTCCAGTCTGGAAATGAATTTGGAATTTTCAGTACTTTAAGTTTCTTCTTACTCTATTTCATTTCCTTTACTGCCCTAAGAAACTGGAAAATAATAACTTTTTCTTTCTAATTCTTTATCACTGAATTACTAATCACCTTAGTTAATTTTAACTCAACCTAATGGATCTCAGTAAAGCTGTATGGGCTGTTAAATCTTTACCTAAAAGTTTAACAGATTCATTCCTTTATGCAAGGATGGTTTTCTTCCTTCAGGACCTGACGTATAAAACCTATAATAGTTTGAGAAATAATATCAGCTCTAAGTATTTACCAGAATTCCTTTGTTGATAAATATATATTCTAAATTTAAATATCTATTAAAAATTAATAAGAAAATACTAATTTTGTGGACTGCATTGCTTTAGAAACAAGTGGTTTGCTTACTAGTACTGCCACACAAAAATTGAAAAGGCAAACTTAGAAATTCATATTGCTATTCAATATGAATTGAATGCTATTTTCATATCAATATGTTTTATACAGTTACCATTGACTGACCTCTCAGTCGTTATAGACCTCAGATTCATTGAACATCCCCATACAGATTTTTGCAACTGAGTGCTAGCTCAAAGCAAGAACAAACTGCTCTGAAGTTAGTGATGGAAGGTGAAGTCTCCTTCTATGTGTCAACATATTAATCTCATCCTGAATTATGTCTTTACAACCTAGGTTCTTCAGCATCAGTCCCAGAGGCCACTGCTCATTTCACGGCTCACATGGTATCATTGCTGCTGAAGATGAGAAGGTAAGAAAGCTCTAACTTCCTGCCTGAGTTTTAGTCATGCATTGGGTGGCATAGTGTGAATTATTTTGATGGATGATTCAAGGTTTGTGCTGAGATGTGAATCACTCATGAGGCTCAAGCTGGTGAGGGAGGCAGAATAGATTAACTTTTTGCCTGAAATTGTCAGTTTTGCTGACTTACATTGTGTGGTATCTTCTTAGTAGGTCTGGGATTGTCCTTGTGGACGTAGTTAACTTAAAGGGGAGTGTTTGCTTGATTAGCTGATGTTAATGAAAATCCTGGAGGACACTTCATTGCTTGGTGTTGTATGGTCATGTCATGATTCTGAGTGTATTCATTTCGTGAAAATTACACAGCATTTGTGGTAACGTGACTATATGGGATTAAGGCTGACATGTCCTGTGCTGCATCCTTATCTTCAAATTGGAGAGAGGGGATTTGAAGGCTGGACTATTGGATGAAGAATTGGTTGGGTGCTTGTAGACAGAGTTGTTGTCAATGGCTCTGTGCCCATGAGGCAGCTGGTCATGAGTTGTGTCCCTCAGAGGTCTATCTTGGAATCAATACTCTTCAGCATCTTTATCAGTGACATACAGTGGGATTGAGTGTACCCTCTGCAAGTTTGCTGATGGCACCCAGCTAAGCAGTGCAGTTGGCACAAGAGAAGGGAGGGACACTATCCAGATAGACCTGTGAGGTGAGAACACATAAGAATCTAATGAGGTTGAACATGGCCAGCTGCAAGGTGTTGGTTGCACTTGGATTGAGGCAATCCCAGCTATGAGTACAGACTGGGAGAAGAGCTCTTTGAGAGCTGGGGATCCTCAACAGCCTGATTTAATGATTGGCAATCTTACCCAAGGCAAGGGTGTAACTTGATGATCTTTAAGGCCCCCTCCAACATAAACCATTCTATGACTTACAATAAAGTCAGTTATAGTAATTGCTGGAGGTGGAAGTTGCTGCCAGACAAATGGAAACTACAGCATGGATTGCTTCTGGAAGTCTGATTTAGGAATATATTGCAGTAGCAAGAGCTTAACACTAAAAGACATAGCAGTGTCAGGAGCTGCTGCTGACTCTGCCTCTCTGTAATTTTCAGTAGAAAGCACTGAGCCATAAAACGGTGGTAGAATCCTGCAGACTGAACTTGTGGCAGGATTTTGAGAGCTTTCAAAGGGAATGGATTTATCAAGTCAGCCTGCCAACTTGGCCTTCCAGTCTTTAATACTCTGTTCTTTTTGCATTCTGTATCTCCCACCTATTCTATTTCATTTCTTCAGGAAGATAATCCCTACCTTCCACTGAGAGCAAACAGCTAAAAACTACTTCTTTCTCAATCTGTATATGTGTGTATATATATATATATATATATATGAAATCTTAAAATGTCATAAAACAAAGGAGTTTTTCAAACATGAGATATTAATATTCATCACTATGAAATTGCTGCAGTTCATAGTAATCAACTGTTTAATCATCCTTGATTATCAGCATGAACAGAAGTGGAAATTGTGAAATGCAGTCAAAATGTTTGACTGGCCTTTCTATGGCTGGACCTAAATTATCTACTAGAGTATTCTGCTGCTGATCTATTTCAGAGCCTGCAGAAGTGTTTCTTTGCATGGAAACTGTAAGATTTGGAATTAAAATTGTGTCATTTTTGTATCCTTGACCCTACACAGCACTGAGGCTTGTGGCTGAAAAGGGGAACCAGGAAGTACTCCAAAGTCCCATAGTGCAGATATAGCATTTTACCTTTGGTGTGTGAGAACACTGTGTTATAATACAAGCTGTATAGAAACAAATGAAAAACAAGTAGTACACCTTTTATAAAATATTATTCCGAGTCAATGTATATACATTATAGACATGGCACTTTACATGTCACATATGTCTCCAAGCACAACAATTCAAGCTGTCTTTCTGTGTTATTCCTGTGTTTTGAGTTGAGTCAATCTTGCATCTGGATTATATTATTTATTTCTGTATTGAAGAAATCAGGTAGACGATCTTGTTTGACAAAACTGTACTAAACCCAGTGCCTTTCCAATTTTCCAAAAGGCTGGAGCT